CAAAGGTCCGTCTAGTCAAGGCTATGGTTTTTCCAGTGGTCATGTATGGACGTGAGAGTTGGACTATAAAGAAAGCTGAGTGCCACAGAATTGATGCTTTTGAACTGTGGTGTTGGAGAAGACTCTTGAGAGGCCCTTGGACTGCAAGGAGATCCAACTAGTCCTGCCTAAAGGAGATCAGTCCTGGGTGTTCATTGGAAGGACTGATGTTGAAGCTGAAACTCCAATACTTTGGCCACCTGATGCAAAGAGCTGACTCATTTGAAAAGACCCTGATGCTGGGAAAGATTGATGGCAGGAGGGGAAGGGGACAACAGAAGATGAGATGGTTCTATGGCATCACTGACTCAATGAACATGGGTTTGGGTGGACTCTGGGAGTTGGTGGTGGACCGGGAGGTCTGGTATGCTGTGGTTCATGGGGTCACAGAGTTCGGACACGACTGAGTGACTGAACTGAACTGATACAGGTGGTATGGTATGTATAAGGGTCTCAACCCTATCTGCAAAGGGAAGCATTACTTGGAGAGCGGAAGGAAAGAAAAAAATGAAGTTGTTCGGTCGTGTCCGACTCTTTGCAACCCCGTGGACTGTAGTCTACCAGGCTTTCCCATCTATGGGATTCTCCGGGCGGGAATGCTGGGGTGGGTTGCGTTTCCTTCTCCAGGGGATCTTCCCAACCAGGTGATCATACCCGGGTCTCACATATTGGAGGCAGACGCTTTACCCTCTGAGCCACTAGGTAAGCCTCCCCAAATTTGTGCCTGTCTCCCTTCTAGGACTAATTCAGATATGTCTTAGATAGGTGGGATGTGTTTGTAGTTTTCAAACCTATCTAGATTCTCATGCACTATAAAGATATGATAACCAGTGACCTTAACACTGAGGTGCTCATATCCCTGAGGGGGTACATGAAGAATTTTCAAAGTGTTAGCACATTTAGTTTTCTGAGGGTCAGTTAACAGGTCCTCGCTATATGTACAGAAAAAAGCACATCTTTGATCCATCACCGATCTTATTGAAGTGTATTCTACCCCAGGTGGTCTTCCCTGGTGGCTCACATGGTGGGGGGTCTGCCTGCAGTGCAGGAGACCTGGGTTCGATGCGTGGGTTGGGAGGATGCCCTGGAGAGGGGAATGGCGGCCCGCTGCAGTGTTCTTGCCTGAAGAATCCCATGGACAGAGGAGCCGCAAAGAGTAGGACACAAGTGAATGATTAACACCCCAGGTGTTAAGCCTTTGAGAGTCCAAACTTAGAGGTAGGTAGCTTCCTGTAGTGATTAAACTTACTGATTCACATTGATGATAGAATGAGATAATAGCCTAGAACTGGAGTGTTTTGGCTTTCTTTGGGAATTTCTGAGTTAGATCAATGATGGTCTTGAGTGGTAGGAGTAATTGTGAGTTTTTTTTAAGCCAGTTCCCCTCTTCTTCCCTAACCTTTTGTCAAAGAATACTTACAAAGCAAAAAACAATACTGTGAAATGTTTTGAAAACTAGAAATATGTAAATCAGACTGTAAAATATGTTGAATTTTAACTTATGAATTTTTTTGCTCCATTTTTTTTGAACACTTTGGAAGAGTATATCGAAGAATTGGGGTAAAAAAATAAGTACTAACCAGAAGTGCAATTCCTTTAAATCAGATGATAGAATATATAGATTTACAAATTGGGTTTCCTTTTTTTTAAACCTAAAATATCATGAAGGTGTGTCTAGAGGTAATTGCTATAGTAGGTGTGCTTATACATGTTAATCGTTTCATAACATCTTTAAAACCCTTAGAAGGTTACAGATAAGAGGCAGGATTGAACTTGGGCCCCAGAGCAGTGAAAGCAGCAAGTCGTAACCATTGGTTCTTCAGGGAATTCTGGAGAATATTTTCTTTTAAGTGATAACTTAATTGACTGAAAAGATGTTTTTCTGTTATGTTTCTTTATAACTCATGATACCTTTTTCATGTATAGATGTATGTATATTTGAGTTCTACCATATAAAACATTGTTTTCCAAGCCAAAAAAAAAAAAAAAAAACTTTCCCAGGTTTGATTCCTCCCAGTCTTTCCAAGATTGGGGTAAACCCTGGCTGGGGCTGTGTGTATATGAGGCTTCCCTATCTGTAAAACCTTTGTGGCATCACTTCAGACTAAGACACTTTGGACATGTTACTTTAGTTATAATATTGTGTTCATCCTCCCTAAGGGGCTAAGAGACTTAAGCAGTTATTTTGAGCACCAAGTTTCTCCCAGTTATCTAAAGTTAGCTCAGGCACAGAATACTTGTTACCTGAAGTTGGTTGTGTATCTAGGCTGTTGTGGAAAGTGATGCAGTGAATTTAGGACTGCAGATATCTCTTTGTGATACTGATTTAATTTCCTTTGTATATATATCCAGAACTGTGTTTGCTGAATCATATGCTACTCCTTTCATACATTTATAAGGAAACTTTTACTGTTTTCCACAACATAGCCACACAATTTACATTCCCACCAGCAGTGTACAAAGGTTCTAGCTCCCCACATCATGGCCTTAACCTGTTAATTCTTTGCCTTTATAATATACAAACTAACAGGCATGAGGTGTTGATTTACTTTGCCCTGATGATTAGTGAGGTTGAAAACCTTTTCCTTTGTATGCTAGTCATTTGTCTGTCTTGTTCCCAAAATGTCTGTTTAAATCTTTGCACATTCCTCAACTCCCTTATTTACTCTTTTTAATATTGTATTTGTTTTGCATTTGAGCTGTGGTATTTTCTTATGAATTTTGAGGATGAGCTCCTTATCTGATACATGGCTTGTAATTTTTCTGTAGGTTATCTTTTCATTGTACTGATTTATTGAAGAGACTACCCTTTTCCTATTCCATTGTCTTAGAACCTTGATGAATTTCATTTGACCATGTATCCGTGACTTTTCTTGGAGCTCTGTATTCTGGTCTTTAGGGCTATGTATCTATTTCTATGTCAGTATCATACAGGTTTGATTCCTATATCTTTGTAATGTGTTTTGAAATCAGGAGGTGAGATATTTTGATCTTTGTTTTCAAGGTTATTTTGTCTGTGTGGAGTCCTTAGCAGTTCCATATATATCTTTGGATTTGTTTTTCCCATTTCTATGAAAATGATGTTAATATTTTGATTGGTGTTGCAATGAATTTTTACTTAGCTTTGGGTACTATAGAAATGTCAACAGTACTAAGTCTCCAGGCTATGAGCATGATCTGTCAGTTCAATTCCTCGTGGCTTAGTTCATTCTCTCAGTGGGGTGTGTAGTGTTCAGTGTGCTGGTCGTTTCTTTCTGAAGACCCTGTGTCCCTCCCTCCCTGATCTCAGAGTCAGTGGTGGAGGTATGGGCTGGTGAGGAGATGCAGTGTCCCTCCCTCCGTCCTCACCTCTTCTCTGATGATGTTCAGCACAATTGCCCTGGGCCCTGTGTCCACACCTGTCCCCTCAAGTGGAACACCTGCTGGGAAATCCTCTAAGATCTAGGTATTGGCATTGCTGTTTCAGTGTCCCAAAGGCTCCTGAGTACGTGAGTTGTATTCACAAGCCCAGGAAATACCTACAAAAATGAGTCATCAAATCAGGCCAGCCAAATACTCTGCAGAAGCTGTTGGGCTACATTTTGCAGGCCTGCAAGTGCTGTACTTTGCCTGGACTTGAGACCAAAAAAAGATTCCAGAGTTGACAGAGATATCAAAGGGTTAATAGATGGGGCGTCTTACATATCTGAAGTAAATGGGTCCTGGAGATGAAAGGTTGTTGCTGAACCACAAAAAGACTCCGAGATTCTTAGCCTCCGGAGGAGAAGAATTCAATCCAGGGCCAGAGACGAGGCTTGATCCCTCAGAGCTTTTGTGTAATAAAGTTTAATTATAAAGGAGATAGAGAAAGTTTCTGACATAGGCATCAGAAGGGGGCAGAAAGAGTGCCCCCCTGTTAGTCTTTAGCTGGATGTTATATAGTCACTAGCAGTTTGTTAAGAAAGAAAGGAGGGTGTACGTGCAGAGCGCGCAGAGCGAGTGGCGCCCACACGCCCTGCGCTGCTCCGCCGGCCGAGCCGGCCGCCCGGAACGCTGAGGCAGCGGTGGCCAAGGCGGCGGGTCTCGCGCGCCGGGCCCGCGTGCCCGAGCGGAGGGCGCCGTCCGCCGCGCAGGCCGCGCTCCCTCAGCCCGCGGCGGTGATGAGGCGCTGAGTCGGCGGCCGGCGCTGCGCGGCGCGACCGAAGGACGAGGACGCGGCCGGGCCGAGGGAGCGGGGCGCCGGTCTCCTGAGGCGAGGGGCGGCGGGCGCATGGCGCAGTGACGGCCCCTGCCGCTCCGCCCGCTCCCCGGCCCGAGGCTAGGCCGTCCGGCCGCCACCCCTCCTGCTCGGCCACCGCCTCCACCCCCGCCGCCATGGCCAATGACAGCGGAGGGCCCGGTGGGCCGAGCCCGAGCGAGCGAGACCGGCAGTACTGCGAGCTGTGCGGGAAGATGGAGAACCTGCTGCGCTGTAGCCACTGCCACAGCTCCTTCTACTGCAGCAAGGAGCATCAGCGCCAGGACTGGAAGAAGCACAAGCTCGTGTGGCAGGTCGGCGAGAAGGTTTCTGCCCCCGGCACGGGCCAACCGTTAAGCCGGGCCGCGCGCCGCCGCCCAGGGCCGCCGAAGCCAGGGAGGACAGGAAGGCGGCGCCGCGCCGGGACCGAGCCGTCGAGGCCGTGGGTCCGCGGGCCTCCGGAGACGCGGCCAAGGCGAAGGCCAAGCCTATGGCCGACCCCGTGGCAGCCGCGTCCCTGCCCCGCACAGCCCCCGGCAGTCAGGGTTGGGTAGCGGCGGCCGCTGAGGCGGAGTCCGCAAAGGAGGAGCTGCTGGCCCGCCCGTCGCTGTACCAGGAGAAGGCGAACCTGTACCCGCTGAGTAACGCGCCGGTCGAGGGGCTGAGCCACGGCGGCCTGCGGCCCAACGGGCAGACGAAGCCGATGCCGGCACTGAAGCTGGCGCTGGAGTACATCGTACCCTGCATGAACAAGCACGGCATCTGCATGGTGGACGACTTCCTGGGCAAGGAGACCGGCCAGCAGATCGGCGACGAGGTGCGCGCCCTGCATGACACGGGCAAGTTCACGGACGGGCAGCTGGTCAGCCAGAAGAGCGACTCGTCCAAGGACATCCGAGGCGATAAGATCACCTGGATCGAGGGCAGGGAGCCCGGCTGCGAAACCATCGGGCTGCTCATGAACAACATGGACGACCTGATCCGCCACTGTAACGGGAAGCTGGGCAACTACAAAATCAATGGCCAGACGAAAGCCATGGTTGCTTGCTCTCCTGGCAATGGAACAGGTTACGTACGTCATGTCGATAATCCAAATGGAGATGGAAGATGTGTGACATGTATATATTATCTTAATAAAGACTGGGATGCCAAGGTAAGTGGAGGTATACTTCGAATTTTTCCAGAAGGCAAAGCCCAGTTTGCTGACATTGAACCCAAATTTGATAGACTGCTGTTTTTCTGGTCTGACCGTCGCAACCCTCATGAAGTACAACCAGCATATGCTACAAGGTACGCAATAACTGTTTGGTATTTTGATGCAGATGAGAGAGTGCGAGCTAAAGTAAAATATCTAACAGGTGAAAAAGGTGTGAGGGTTGAACTCAATAAACCTTCTGATTCGATCAGTAAAGACGTCTTATAGAGCCTTTCATCCAGCAATACCCCACTTCACCTATAATACTTATTGATGCTACTTGTTAACTTGGGAATACAAATAAATGGGATAAAGAAAAATAGACAGCCAGTTGGCAGTTTAAGGAAACAGAAACAACTTTTTTGTGTTGTGTCAAAACAGAGATTTTGACTGTGTGGCTCTGTACTGCATGATCGACTCCAAACCTGTGATGGGAGGAATGTAAGTTATCAACTGAAAGTGGTGTTTACATCTGGACATGAAATAAGTGCCCTAGGCAGAATTGTTTTCATTCTTATATTTTGCCAGATCTGTCATCTAGCTGAATTCATTTCATCTCTCCCTTTTTTATATAGTCAAGTTTGAATTTGAAATAATTTTTGTATACTCAGGTACAATTTATCAAAACTGAATTGAGAAAACATTACAGTATTATTTCCCAAAATAGTATCAATCTATTTTTGTAAACCTCTTCGTACTATTAAATTTTGCCCTGAAAAGCCTCTTAAAAAAAAAAAAAAAGAAAAGAAAAGAAAGAAAGGAATGTCTTAAAACTCAGAATGGCACCAGGCCCCTCATCCATAAGATGTATTTTGGGATAATCTTGGCACCGGAAGAGTCATCCCAGGCCATAAAATGATTGACTTGAATCCTGTAGACAGGCAGATTACCATACAAATAGTTTCGTTTACATAGATTAGGGGAACAATGTCTGAATATAACATAATGGTTTGTCAAGTAGGTTCTGAACCATTAGGCAGAATGGACTTCAAGACAGAGTTTGGGGTAAAGGCATAGCACATTAACATAGCTTAAGACAAACATTTCCATAAGAAGAGTGCATTGGTTAACTCAAGGTTTGAGAATAGTTAACTTCAGGTGGAACCAGGTGTCATTATGGCAACACAGTATTTTAAGAGAAATCTCCTTTTAAATTTGTATAGAAAAGGGGGGAAAAAAAAAGCATCATTCCTGCCGCTTAAGAGAGAGATAAAAATGTCTGACACTTGAAGCCTATTTCCTCTGTTTGGAGACCCCTGGCCTTCCTGCCTGTTACCCTCTCAGAGAGACACCCACTGTGGATAGCAGGGAACAGGCAGAAGACAGCAGCTATAGTTTTCTTTACTCTGAGGGGATAAGGAGTCTACCAGTTACAGTGGGAATGAACAGCAGATTGGCCCATTGATTACCATGGAAACCAGAAAAGGGCCACATCTCTCTTAGCCCCTCAGGCTAAATGCTCTCATGCGTCAGAGGTCTTTTCTTTGTTAATTTAACAGCAAACAGTCATCTTGAAATGGCCAGAAAACACAAAGGAAATAACAAGAGAGGGGTGTTAACACCCTGTATATATCCATGCATACTCAGTCACTTAGTTATGACCCCACTGTTTGTGACTCCATGGACTATATCCCACCAGGCTCCTCTGTCCATGCTATTTTCCAGGCAAGAATATTGAACTGGATTGTCATTTCCTCCTCCAAAGTATCTTCCCAACCCAGAGATTGAACCCACGTCTCCTGCATTGGCAGGCAAATTCTTTACCACTAAGCCACCTGGGAAACACCTTCACTTGTACCAAAGTTCCTGTTCTGCCGTCATCTGTCAGAATCGGCAGGACTCGTGGTGATGATCTGAAGATTCATTCAGTGTTTCCTGGTGACTCAGACAATAAAGAATTCACCTGCAATCCAGAAGACCTGGGTTAGAACCCTGAGTCAGGAGGATCCCCTGAAGAAGGAAGTGACTAACCACTCCAGTACTCTTGCCTGGAGAATTCCATGACAGACGGCCCTGGCAGGCTAGTCCCTGGGCTCACAAAGTGCTGAAATCGACTGCATGAGTTATCCGCACACATATATAAACATATATAGTGGCTTTTGTGTATTATAGTTGGTAGGCACTAGCGAGTTGTGACTGCTATAATTTACTTAAAGGCATGTTATACATGTGTCAAAACTCTTGTGATTTCAGGATGGTTAGCATGAAGGTGAGAGCTCTAGTGGACATGTAGAAGTGAGAGGTTGAGAATTGAGTTTTTCAGCATCTCTGTCTTTAGGTTTGCAACTGATATCAGTGACTTACTGAATGACTGTGACTGCACAGAGCACAGATGACTGCCATCTGCTATCCACAGTGGGGTGTCTCTTCAGGACCTTGGGAAAAAGGTCAAGGTGATGCTGTGAGATCCAGCAGGCCTCAACTGGAGGATATGTGGGTGGGTTGCTCATTCTAACCACCTTTTTGCTCATGGAGTGCACTGTGGAGGGCATTTGGTGCAGTGATGAGAAAGGGGAGACAGGTAGCTAACAAGATTCCGTTGGGATCTGATGGGAGAGGGTTCTGGAAGTTAAACCCTCTGTTAACCCCAGAGTTAAACTCTCTGTTTGGTGGCTAAGAAAAGTGAACCTGAAATTAAGAAGAAGGAAATGTGTATAGAATTCTGACTTATTCTTTACATATGAAATGATATGATAGAGAAATTGTGTCCTGGACTTGCATTGTGCTCTATTTCTAATCAGCTTTTGTTGCTTTACTCTTCAAAAATCATTTTTCCTATAAGAGCTGCTCGTTTCTGCTTTTTTACTAATATGGAAACCTGGTCTCTGGTCAGCACATCTCGGGTATTGTGCACTGCAGGCTGTTTTCTGTTGCATGTTGAACTATGAGGACCATATCCTAGTGGGCACAAAACTCTCATTGTCAGTTGACACTGGAGACCACGTCCTTGCAGTGCCTGTGAGGTGGTGGGTGCGATGTGAACTCTCTCCTCCTGCACTTTCAGGACTTGTGACTTCCCCTCATGTTTGTCCTCACTGTTAATTCCTCGTGTAGAGGGCGCTGCCGGGGGTGGATGAGTCACAGCACACAGGCTCTGGGGTCCCTGCCCGGGCCCGGTCTCCTGGGGCTCTTCACAGCCTCTGCAGCAGCCAAGGCTGATGTGCTGAAGGTGCTTCCGGGAGAGAGGTCCATGTCCTGCTGCTCCTGGAGACCCTCCACATCTGCAGATTCTAGAGTCTGTGAAGGGCCCACGGGGCTTCCTCACACACTTGCTTTCACAGCCCTGCTGACCTGGTCTCCTAGGATTGGGCATTCCCAGGGCAGCAGGTCCTGGGGTCACTGCTACTCTCAGAACCCACTGCTGCATCCAGACAGTCTTGCCCCTTCTCCCCAACCCAGGCCTGCCCCATCCTCTCTCCTTTCCTTACACCTTCCCAAGTCTCATCCCTCCCAATTTTCCAAGTCTCAGTGCAAACCCGGCAGCTACCACATGTTTATGGAGGACCCTTGTCACATTATTCTGGCTAAATGAAATTGGAAGTGTTTGCCTCTATCCTTTCTAAGGGTCTGTGAAACTTGAGGTGTTGCTGTGAGCATTAAGCATCTCCCAGGTAACTCAGGTCACCCCAGGCAACGGGAGAGTCTCTGTTATGTGGAATTTTTGTCCTTCCCTCCCCCAGGGCTCAACACACTCTCAAGTCCATGCCAGCTCCTCCCTTGGAGAAATGTATTGGTTAATTGAGTAATGGACTGATTGGAGACAGTGGCCATACACCGATGTTCCTCCTTCTAATGTGTCCACATTGCAAACTCTAGGGTTGCTAGAGGTTGAAGGAGGAAGTAAAGTAACAGTGACTAGAGGAGAGAAATAAGGAAGCAATTAGAGAAGCAGCAGCAGGAGAAGGAGGCAAGGAAGGTTGTGGGCAGAGATGCATGGAGACAGTGACCACCTGGAGGAGGAACAGATTGGCACAGCCTCATTCTTGGTCACACATAGGCAAGTTGAGGGTGGCAACAGGATGTTGGAGGTCAAAGGTCCACTTTTTCACTGAAGAGGTGAAACACCAAGGCCCTGGGAGTTCCCTGGAGACAAGGGCACCACAGTCCCCTGGTCACATCCTGACTCTAAATCTCCCCTTTGCTTTCCCACAGCCATTCCACAGGAGTTCTGCCTGGCAACACCAGAAAACTGAATGGAAGATAATGAAGAATTGGAGCAGAAGAGCAAGAATATGGAAGTCATTTACTGTCAGGGGACGTTCAACTTTACAGAATCCAGTAAGTTGCATTTTTTTTCCTTTGTGTGCCATTTCTCAAGGATTCTCTGTTCCTTATCAGTTCCTATTAGGGGAACGAGTGGAGCTGCACACAGTTCTCATCACTGAGATCACAGGAAGGGGTACCTGCTTGGATTCCTTCCAGTAACTCCCTTCAGTGACTCTTTTCAACGTCAGCGGACTTAAATGTATTAGATTATCCATTTTGTTGTAACTGATGGAATTTCATTCTTTGTAATGGCTAAGTAAACATTTTACTAAAGATATATAAGCCTGTATTTCTGCTAATAAAATACCCTTGCTCCACTCAAGACCTGGGTCCCCTGTGGCCTTCTTTCTGTCTTCATTCTCGGCAGAGCGTGGAAACCTACCGAGCTCACTTTCTTGCCCGGGCTTTCAAGACCTCCTTGAGAGGATGCCCTGTGCTTTCATGAGTGGTACAAGTCCTGTGAACGTTGGTATTCCATGTAACCCGAGAGATACTGCTCTCTCTCTCTCTCTCTCTTTTCATCGATTCCAGCCCACCAGGTTCTGGCCTGTATTAATGAGTGACCATTTATTTCTTCTTTCATATCTGTTAATTTTTTTTCTCTTTTTCTGGTCCATAGATTCTTCCTTGTAACCCTTTCCCATCTACTCTTTGCATCTTTTAATGATTACCATTCTGGAGGACCAGTTCTCTTATAGGCAGTTGGGTTCCTGGGACCTTATATAAAATCTATGAAATCTGTCCGCAGCTCTCTTCCTCCACTTTCTTAGCATTGTCCTCGCTCCTGACCTCATGTCTGCACCCTTGAACCTGGCTTTGTCACCATGAGTGGCCTGAGCAGGAGTTGAGGCTGGAATCAGTAAGTCTGGACCCACACATCTCAACAGGCCCCATGAAGTCTGCACTGCCCTGGGCTAACCCATATGGTTGCTTTCCTGCCCTGAGAGGGATTGGAGCTGCCT